TCTCCAATCAAGCACAGCTCGGAGCTGATTGTGAACAGGACATACAAAACCTCACAGGACCTCGTCTTCCTGCATAACTCTCCAGTGGACACTGTGTAGTCCTTACATTTCCTGAAAAATATGAACAAGGACCTACTTCCTGCGGCAGCTGAAGAAGTTCAAGCTACCAAAGTCAGTGATGGTGAAGTTCCACTCCTCCACTGTGTCCTCATCAGTGTCTAGTACACTGCTGCCAAAAAATTCTGAAGACCATATGTAAATATGTGTACATTTTTTGTATTACCAGTGTATTCCACTACAGATTACAGAATACATGGCCCAAAATCTGGTTTGTAACATATTCTGTTAGGTTACTCAATGTGAGTAAGGTATTCTGAATACTATTATAATTACTGAAGGCTACTCGCCACTGAGCTAACATTGTTAGCTGGCGTTAGCTGAGATTAGTTAATAGACCGCAGACTGTTAGACTTGATGGACAGCATTAACAACCTGCTAGCTGCAAATAATCATGTGCAGTTCTGAAAGCAATACCAACTAGATTTTTAAATCTTAATATAAAATGAGTCACAGTAGGCTGGACATTAGGTAAGGCTGCAATTTTTGCAGTGGTTTGGCATAGAAAACTATTTCTTTATCAGTAATATGTTTTCATTCTATCTGCTTTCAGAACTGCACGTGATTATTTGCAGCTAGCAGGTTGTAATGCAGCCTTCATTAATAGTAATAAATCACACAGCAATAGTACATCGAAGATGCTGAAGTGGCACATAACCCAGGTTGCTACCACAACTAAAACAAGGTAGTTGTTGAATGCAGGGAGCGGGACCACACCTCCATACACATCCCTTCCGGTTCTGTCTATGTATGACACCCCCTTCAAGAAATGCTGTCAAACCTAAAATAAGGGTGTGGTCCCAGCTAGTCAATGTTAGCTACATCTTTATATAGCAAAGTGCATGTGGGCAAACTAAATTTATATATGTTCAACAATATTCCTCCACCCCAGCACTGCTGTACCTAATGACTTTTTTGGTGATTTGAGGCATTGAGGCGATCGTGGCTCAAGAGTTGGGAGTTCGCCTTGTAATCGGAAGGTTGCCGGTTCGAGCCCCGGCTTCGACAGTCTCGGTTGTTGTGTCCTTGGGCAAGACACTTCACCCGTTGCCTACTGGTGGTGGTCAGAGGGCCCGGTGGCGCCAGTGTCCGGCAGCTGTGCCTCTGTCAGTGCGCCCCAGGGTGGCTGTGGCTACAATGTAGCTTGCCATCACCAGTGTGTGAATGGGTGGATGACTGGGTATGTAAAGCACTTTGGGGTCCTTAGGGACTAGGAAAGCGCTATATAAATACAGGCCATTTACCATTGATTGCTTATATCACAATGCATTTAATTTTTAAGGAAAACACATTTGAAATATTTAAATGAATAAAATAAATCTACTTGGTTGCCTCTGCTGTATGTACGTATAAGTATTCCGCACCCTCTCTCTGTGTATTTCTATTAATTTTCCATGTCATCAGGTAAATCAGTAACACAACATCTCTACTACTTTAGACAGTGGAATAAGTTTTTTTTCATTAACTTGAAGCAGTCTTTTAAACAGCTTCGTTCGCTGGAACAAATTGTTGCCTTATTGTCTCCTACTGAATGGAGGCCCCTCACGTAGTAGCCAAACAGATTTTATGGCATTGATAAAGGAGTAATCATGATGGCATTTCTCACAGTGATTATTCTCTGAACTAGCCTCCCTCAGTTAGGCCTTCTTATCATTTCTAGACCCCCCTTTTGAGAGCTGTTCTGTATTACACCAATTAGCACAGTGAGCAACTCAGCCGCTTCCACTCTGTGCTATAAATTTATTTCTAGCTGTTTCACTGACAAGGTATGCTGTCACTGTGCTGCTGACTGACAGGAGTAAATGTGTGTTTGTGTGTTGGATGGTTCAGCCTGGCATTTTATTGCACTATTAAACGTTATTAAACATCCTTTTTTTGTTGTATTTTACTGTGTTTTAAGGATAATGCCCTTGAATTAAAAAAAAATACCATGTTAAGGGCTAAAGGCCCAACTCTCTTGGTTTAATGGAAAAGGAGCAGATACCAATACCCATCTCCCTGTATAAATGGACAGTAGAGGGCATGAAAAAGTCATCTACACCTTCCTGAACTCCAAATCCTCTCGTGTACCTCAAACGAAGTCGATGGTCCTTCAGACCGCTCAGAGATACATTGCACAAAGCCCGTGACTGAGTCAAGCCACCATCTGCATCACGCTGGCATTTTGTGGGTCATTCCTCAGTGTGACAACAGGCATAGAAAAGCATAATATGAGCTGAGTGGGTGATAGTGCTGCAATTCTACTCTTAATGACAACTGAGAGTGTGTATGTTTCATTGTGATAAGGGCTAAATGAAAACAGGAAAGCATGAAAGAAAATGACAATGACAATAAAGTGAGATCTGTGGGTGAAAATAACCATATTTCTGCAGGTTCCAAAAAGGTGCCACAGTGACTATGAAATCAGCTTAATGCATTTAGGATGGCCCCAGTGTTCCGATGAGCAGGTCCCTATTAGGAAGGTAATTGGTTTGGCGGATTACTCAAAAAGTTATGGACTGATTTGCATGAAAATCAACCAACTTCAATGCGATTAACTTTGGAATAAAATATAGTTTCAGATCTGGACTGAGTATTTTTGTGAGATAAAACTAAATTGGACATTTTGCATGATGTCTTCACATAAAATGTGGAGGAAATCTTTTTTAAAAATTGAGTATGTGGAAATAGAAATGTTAAGAAGTTCACGCCTCTGAGTTTATCCTTCTTGCATCCCATCAGGAAGTTACAAGAAGCCTAAACACGTCTTTAGCATGGCCTCGAATAACACAGAGACTTTATGTTTGGGTTAGGGTTAAAGATAGGTTTGCTCTCTTAAATCAGGCTGGTGGCTGCTGAACCAGAGGAATTCTGGTTATAGCTGAGGCAGATTCTCATTACTGCAACAAAAATATAATGGAACGACTCAGTTAGTATGACTGTACAAGACATTTGCAGTGGATTTAATGTTTTAGGTCTCATAGTACTGCCATCTGTAGGCCAGGTGAGGAAGTGCGTCTATTTCAGCTTTAATTCAGTTTTTCAATTCAATTTTATTTCTACAGCATCAAATCACAACAACAGTTGCCTCAATTTATATTACAATAATACATACAGAGGAAAAAACCCAACAATCACATGACCTATGAGCAAGCACTTTGGTGACAATGGGAAGGAAAAACTCCCTTTTAACAGGAAGAAACCTCTGGCAGAATTACTCCAGATGTAACGGGACTCAAACCTTCCTCAGTAGATAATGGTTCTCACTGTGGTTCATGAGTCCTAAAGCCTTGGAATTGGCTCTGTGATCCTTTCCAGACTGATAGATATCGGTGACTCAGCTGTTTCTTTAGATCGTGGTGTGGTGCGCTACATTTAGAGATCTTTTAGCCTTCTTTACTTTGTCTGACAGGTTCTGTTTAAGTGATTTGCTAATTCACCAACTCAGAGTGCTATTGAAACAAAACTCAGCTTTCCAAAAAATGTGAATAATCACAGTTAATGTTTAATTTAAAAAGAGAGGAAGTTGCTTTTTCACACAATGACAGGTAGGTTTGGGTGGCTTTTCCCTCTTTGTCTAATATTAAAGTTTGATGATCTGGAACATGTGTGAAAAATATCCACAAAAAAACCTAAGAAATCAGGAAGGGGAAAGAAAAATACTTTTTCACAGCACTGTAGCTCTGAAGTATGAACCATTATAATTATGGTTATCTGTAACATTTAGCTCTAAATGTGAAAGAAAAAGACTTCAGAGTGGCACAGTTACAAACCAGCGCCATCATACACTTACAATCATTTTCTGTTTTTACTTTGAAGTGTCTTTTCAGTCTTGCTGTGACTGACGTAAGCTGTTAAACAGTGGACCTCTCATCATGTTGAAAGTTTAGCTGTGAAAGAATATGAATGAATTCCTCATAGCCAGAGTGAAGACAACAGCATCACGATCACTGCTTCGTTTTGCTGAATGCTATGAATAGTTTGACCCTGCAGCCAACATGCAAGCTGCAGTGCTGCTGCCGTTGGCCATCTGCAGGTATCTGTTTAGAGAGATTAGTAAAAGTGCTGATGATGCGAGAGCTGTGCCTTGCACTCCCGACTGCACACTAAACAACAACTCCCAGACTAAATTAAACACACACTTAGCCCAGAGAAGCTCTCAACAACTTTTAGTTTTGTTTTTAGCTCTAAAAATGTTTCCCAGGCCACACGTAAGCCATCTCCAAACTGGCCATGGACATGAGCTGATTACCTGCACTGAGACCGCGGCAAGACTGGAGTTGGTTGTATGAGAAGCGGATCAGCCTGTTTGATTCCCTCCTGCCCTGCTTCAGACAGCAAAGTACTACAGTGAGTAAATGAGAGCAGCGGGCATGACGCACTCATGACCACATTTTAACTCAGTGAAAGGACACAAGGACAGAGTCACTTTGACCTCTCAGTGAGCTGGTGTATATCTAGTTGGGTCATTCAAACCCACTATGTGGACTTTGTTTGATCACTGTCTTCCATCCTTTTACAATGATACATTCAACGGGAATGGCAGTTTTTTAAAGTGTATCATGACTCGAGAGTGTGTCACTTACAATAAGAAGAATGACAGTGTGCTCCACAGACATTCGCACGCATGCTAAGCAGCCCTCCCTGCTTTAGTGGTCACCCCTAAGCCAATTGAGGGATGGGCTGACATGTCACTGCTGATGGTGGGGGCTATGCTCAGTGCAAGAGTATTAGTCCTGCTAAATACAGTAATGCAATTAGGGTCAATTTGGTTATGAGGACACGCTGAATTAAAACAGGTGGAGAAGAAAAGGTAGGCGGAGTGAAGGGGATCAGGCTAGTTGAGGGATCGTTTTGATCCTTGCCTCCCGCCACACTCCCCTCATACAAGCAGCAGGCAGGACGGCTGATGCACTCGTAGGTCATTAGACATGTTTGCAAAGTTGAAGGGTCTCTTTAGCAGCCCGCAGGTGCCAGAGGGCTCTGGGACTACTAGCAAAGCCCCTGACCCAGCTCCACCTCCACCTCCACCTCCAGCCAAGGTATGTGTTCCGCCTGTATATTCAGTTATTAGACTAACTATAATAAATCGTTATTGTCAACCAGATTTTTGACTGGTTACAGACATGAGCAGTGGCGTCTCGTCTGCCTCTATCATTCAACCAGCTGCTCTGTACCAGCTGCAAAACAGAAAAAAAACCCAAATAAAATTGTTTCACTACCTCATTGAAATCACTCATTACCCAAACGGGCACTTTGAAATTTGTTTCATCATGAACGCAGCCTGTTTTTAAAAGTGTCCATCAGGGGAGGCAGTCATTTGTCAAACGCTGAATTCACCATTCTTTAAAACTGCCACTGAAATTAAAGCGTCACTCTTAATGGCCACTGTTTGACAAATGGAGCCAGGCGTCAGATTTTGTGAAGAAAAAAAATGTTGATTTGTCGTGTAGGAGGAGAAGCCAGCTGAGAAGGAGAATGAAGACAAGAAAGTGGACAAACCACAGGGTGAGTCATTCTAACGGCTGAAAAGTTTACCCAGTTCCTTTTTTTTGTCCCATCCTGTGAAATTAAAACAAGACTGACTGTTAATATGTTGGGAACATGAGAAAATATGGATTATTTTAAATTTCGCTTCATTTTGGTTTCCCTCTTTATTTGTCAGGGACTGTGTACAAAAACTATTCATCTAACATGACAGTTTGTTGTCCCTGCACAGGTCATCGAGCAAATAGAAACATACGCATCATCATTTTTTTTAAAAGACATACTAATACAAATGCAACTGACAAATCAACGTAATAGGCCAAACACCCACATCTAAATCCACCAATATCCATAAATACAACACTTGTTTATGCCATTACAAGGGAAATAAGTATGTAACGTTTTACTGTATAATAAGCTTCTTTACAAATGTATTTGCTAATTAGATACTGCAGTGAAACACAGTGTTACTGAAACACCTCCACACTTCAGTCAGCCTCGTGTATTATTCTGTTTATTCTTGTTATTTGTATAAAGCTGTAGTTATAATAGTTATAGTCATAGTTATAAAGCGCAAACAGTCAAACGAGTGACAAAAAGGGACCAAAATAAGAGAAAGCCTTTGGACAAATGTCCAATATGAAACGTTCAGCCTTGGACGACTTCTCTCGCGCCTGCTGACCGTTTCCATTTTAGTTGAGTTTCCTCGACTGCTGAGCTCGACAAGAAATGGAATTTCACTGATTTGTTGATTGTGTTGCTGAAAGTTTGAATGGCCTTTTGGAGCCGGAGTGAATAACATCAGGTTTGTCTCCATCATCCATCCAGGTTCTGTTACTTCATTCTGCTGATCCCACGGTTGCCTAATGTGTCTGAAAGCCGGACAGAAACACGGCCAGCGAATAATCAACCCCTCAAATGTCATATTCAGCGTCTTGTCTCTCTCTTTTACAGATGTTACAGGAATCTTTAATAGATGATGAACTAAATAAAAATGGTTTCACATAACCAGTGCAGCAAAGATGCCAAAAAAAGGATGAACACATTTACAGTTCGTAGTTGTTTCACAGATGGATGACATGCAGTTATAAGACTAAAGGGACTATAAGGAAAACACATAATACAATGATGAGGAAATTAGCAATTAAAAGAAATAAATGGGAAAACAGAAACCATTATAAATATAAAACTTAATCTAATGTATTGTTACGGTTATATTTCTAAATGTGTAATATTTTTATAAAGATGTCTAAAAGAAATGCTTTACAGGAAAACAAACGATGCAAAATAAATAATTAGGTAAGATCAAACATTTTTTTATTCTTCTTCCAGGAGGTGAGGACCATTTCTAACAATCTTGAAAAGCCAAAATAAACGTAGGATTTTTTTCCCCTTTCTTAGAATCAGCTCCATCACCGGCACCACCCCCAGCCCCTGAACCAGCACCATCAGCGGCCCCGGCACCAGCTTCGGCACCAGCTCCTGCCCCAGCTCCAGCCGCGGCTCCAGCTCCTCCACCAAACCCCGATCAAGCTGGAGCTGAGGGGTAAGACATGCGCTTGCAGTGTTGTTTCTTCTACCTAATTTTTTCCAGGTACATTTCATTTGAAAGCGGGTGCACCGACAGTCAAAAGCGTTTACAGAGATTAGTTACAGTGTGTTTATCCTCAGAATATCAGCCCAGCCTCCAAACTCCACTTTAGCTCACTACAAACACACACCTGCCAAGTGACACCACAAACCTATATCAAAGTAATCACCCCATGGACGCTAATTAATCAGATTCCCTGGCAAGAGGGCGGAGAGGGAGGGAGGGTGCCCGGGGAGATAAGCGCAGCATGTGAGATCTTTACCCGCTGGAGCAACATGCATATTAAAAGAGGGATGGCCTGAAAGTGGATTAAAAGATTTTCAGTTCTTTAGGTTTTAAGGAGCTCACCAGAGCTGCTTCTGGTCCCTCAATAAACACTATGAAGGCGAAGGATATGATATATATGACACAACAATGGTGGCAAGAGCCAGAGGCTCCAGGTGGAGGACAGGTAGCGTGCGTGTGTGTGTGTGTGTGTGTGTGTGTGTGTGTGTGTGTGTGTGTGTGTGTGGTGGTGGTGGGGTCAGTGTCAGCCAGCAGCTTAAGTAATGTGTGGAATAAATAGTGTCAGAGCTCAGAGGGGATCCTGAGGTACTCTACAGAAGAGCTAGACTGGGAGTTTTTACTGCCAGTGCTACACAAAACCTGAAGTGTGTGTGGTTTACTCTGTGTCCTTCTCATATATAAACCGCCCAAGTATGTGTCCTTCTTCTTTTATGAGGCATATTAGTGAGATGAAATGCTGCATCGCCTTTAGGGTTGATTAAGTCTGCAAAGGCTTCCTACCAGAACCGGTGTCACCACGGCGTTGGCTCACTTTCTTTAACTTTCTTTCATTTAGTTTCCACAAACCAGGGGCGGTACTCCAACCCAGCACAGTGTACCATTTACACACTGAAAACAATGAAAGAAACGATGGAAAAACAACCTGACAATTAAGTGTGAAAATGTACTGACTTTAATTTGACTGCAGGGCCTGATCTCAGCATGTTGGATGTGTCAGTTTAAACATGGTGTATTGTTCTGTCAAAGGCACTACAGAATTTTATCCACTAGAGGGAGAGCATCCATCATTCTCACAGCTCGGGCCGAAGTGGAAGACCGCTATTGGCCTAGCCTGGCCTGACCTCTAGATCTGTCCTCCCTGACCCAAAGTGCCCTAACCTTAACCACAAACAAGTGAAGCTGGACTCCATCCATTTGGCTCTGCAGTGAGCACCACTTGGCTGATTGCATTTATCCGTGTAATGTGATCCTTCTTATGTCACAAGTTATTTCTCTCTGTGATTCACTCTTTTTAGCGTTTCAAATCACAGGTACTGAGCTGGGTCCTGAATGAAAAGGGAACGATTGTAAACTGAAATAAACACTGAGGATGGTCGCAATGCACTGAATCAAATATTTCTACATTTATATACCTTAAATGTGTATTATACTTTATCAGTGATGGCAATAACGGAGTTACAAGTAACGGCGTTACTTTTTTCAGTAACGAGTAATCTAACTAATTACTATTCCTATCGTTACAACGCAGTTACTGTTACTACTTTAAGGGGCGACCGTGGCTCAGGGGGTTGGGAAGCATATCTGTAACCGGAAGGTTGCCGATTCGATCCCTGGGCTCTCTGTCCTGGTTGTTGTGTCCTTGGGCAAGACACTTTACCCTACCGCCTACTGGTGTTGGCCAGAGGGGCCGATGGCGCGATATGGCAGCCTCGCTTCTGTCAGTCTACCCCAGGGCCGCTGTGGCTACAACCGTAGCTGCCTCCACCAGTGTGTGAATGTGAGAGTGAATGAATAGTGGTATTGTAAAGCGCTTTGGGTGCCTTGAAAAGCGCTATATAAATCCAATCCATTATTATTACTAACAAGAAAATGCGGCGCGGTTGTGTTACTATTTTTCAACAAACAGACAGTTGAAGCTGTGTTCAGCTTACTGCACCTTATATCAGTTGCACGGAAGTAGCTGTCTACGTAAGTAATCTGGGCGCTACAGCTTTAAGCAGCTGCGAGCGCTCTCGCGGACGGCAATCACTTTCTGGCAGACGATCACTTTCTGGCACAACACCTGGAGCTCAGGGGGGCAAAACAATTGCATGAGTGCTGCTGTTTGACTGAGGAAGAATAAAGTAGTCGTGGTAAGTTAATCACGTGACCACTTAAAGATGACAAAGCAACAGGGTGATATATACCAGTTTTTAAATTGTGCAGATAGGCCACGTAAAACCAGAATCCTGATAAACAATATATACACGGCGTTTTTTCCTGAATAGTTTCGTCACGTTAACGTCTAAGGACAGCGCTAGCAAGCACTCTCTGCTTATGACCAAAAAATTAAAAAACTAAACAAAAAACAGCCCGTTCGTGTTGGTGGAAAAATGTACCATGCTGACCAATCAAAAAATTATATTTGTTTAGGAAGAGGGTGAAGTTTTAGGAGCGACAGCAAGAGAGAGAGAGAGAAAGAGAGAAAGAAAGACAGCAGAAAAAGAGAGAGAGAGCGTGTAGTTAATGTGTTGTCTTCAGTGTTGGTCAAGTTACTTGAAAAAGTAATCAGTAACTAATTACTGATTACTTCCCCCCAAAAGTAATCCCGTTACTTTACTAATTACTTATTTATGAAAGTAATTAGTTACTTAGTTACTTTTTAAAAACATGATTTATGACCTGAATAGGTAATAAAGCGATAGATCTTTCAGCCCAATTCTACTTTTTCTGCATCATCCATTATATAAAATGTAATCAAATGAAAAAGTCTCTTTTTAAAACTTGTTTTATTAGTTTTAATCTTTTAACTTTATGCATCAACCAAAAATTAAAGTATATGCAACATTCTCTGACTGGAAAAAAATTGTTTAACATTTAAACCTATTTTCTGCACATTCCAGCACATAAAATAAAATAGGTTTTTATGTTTACACTCACTCTTTCAAATAGATGCAAGTAAAACACAGCAGAAAATAAATAAAATCAAAAACTCAGCGGCCCTGTTGCTCTATTTTCACCTGTTTAGCAGGAGTGGGGCAGGCGGAGGTTTGCTCTGGTGCAGGTGTGCTGCAGCCGTCATGTCAGTGGAAGGATCCGGCAGTTTCTCTGTGAATTTCACATTCCTGTGGCAGCGTACTCGGCGCTTGCTCGGAAGTTTAGGGTTTTTTTCACTATAAAAAGAAGTTTTCTTCCCACGCAGTGAACAGCAGACCCTAATGTTTTTGTCACTTTTTACAGAATCAAACTCAAAGTAAGGTCAGTACTTACACGCTTTAAACGCTGCACGGTCATATTACAGGGAGTGCAGAATTATTAGGCAAGTTGTATTTTTGAGGAATAATGTTATTATTGAACAACAACCATGTTCTCAATGAACCCAAAAAACTCATTAATATCAAAGCTGAATGTTTTTGGAAGTAGTTTTTAGTTTGTTTTTAGTTTTAGCTATTTTAGGGGGATATCTGTGTGTGCAGGTGACTATTAGTGTGCATAATTATTAGGCAACTTAAGAAAAAACAAATGTATACCCATTTCAATTATTTATTTTTACCAGTGAAACCAATATAACATCTCCACATTCACAAATATACATTTCTGACATTCAAAAACAAAACAAAAACAAATCAGCGACCAATATAGCCACCTTTCTTTGCAAGGACACTCAAAAGCCTGCCATCCATGGATTCTGTCAGTGTTTTGATCTGTTCACCATCAACATTGCGTGCAGCAGCAACCACAGCCTCCCAGACACTGTTCAGAGAGGTGTACTGTTTTCCCTCCTTGTAAATCTCACATTTGATGATGGACCACAGGTTCTCAATGGGGTTCAGATCAGGTGAACAAGGAGGCCATGTCATTAGTTTTTCTTCTTTTATACCCTTTCTTGCCAGCCACGCTGTGGAGTACTTGGACGCGTGTGATGGAGCATTGTCCTGCATGAAAATCATGTTTTTCTTGAAGGATGCAGACTTCTTCCTGTACCACTGCTTGAAGAAGGTGTCTTCCAGAAACTGGCAGTAGGACTGGGAGTTGAGCTTGACTCCATCCTCAACCCGAAAAGGCCCCACAAGCTCATCTTTGATGACACCAGCCCAAACCAGTACTCCACCTTGCTGGTGTCTGAGTGGGACTGGAGCTCTCTGCCCTTTACGGGCCCATCCATCTGGCCCATCAAGACTCACTCTCATTTCATCAGTCCATAAAACCTTAGAAAAATCAGTCTTGAGATATTTCTTGGCCCAGTCTTGACGTTTCAGCTTGTGTGACTTGTTCAGTGGTGGTCATCTTTCAGCCTTTCTTACCTTGGCCATGTCTCTGAGTATTGCACACCTTGTGCTTTTGGGCACTCCAGTGATGTTGCAGCTCTGAAATATGGCCAAACTGGTGGCAAGTGGCATCTTGGCAGCTGTACGCTTGACTTTTCTCAGTTCATGGGCAGTTATTTTGCACCTTGGTTTTTCCACATGCTTCTTGCGACGCTGTTGACTATTTTGAATGAAACGCTTGATTGTTCGATGATCACGCTTCAGAAGCTTTGCAATTTTGAGACTGCTGCATCCCTCTGCAAGATAGCTCACTATTTTTGACTTTTCTGAGCCTGTCAAGTCCTTCTTTTGACCCATTTTGCCAAAGGAAAGGAAGTTGCCTAATAATTATGCACACCTGATATAGGGTGTTGATGTCATTAGACCACACCCCTTCTCATTACAGAGATGCACATCACCTAATATGCTTAATTGGTAGTAGGCTTTCGAGCCTATACAGCTTGGAGTAAGACAACATGCATGAAGAGGATGATGTGGACAAAATACTCATTTGCCTAATAATTCTGCACTCCCTGTACTCTCTGTCACCACCCGATCCGTACTGGAAACCCGATCGGTACCCCGCATGCGCAAAAGGTGTCTACTTCCGGTCGAAGCATTTTATGATAGCATTTTACGGGTCAGAGTATCTGTTAAGCGCCGTAAAATAAGAAGAATAGCGCCTAATTACAGAGTTAATAATACAGACTTTGTAATATGTCACATGTAGATTCATCAGCCAGATGAACTGCTTACTAACAATTGACAATGATAGCGGACATCATCATCGCTATTCCAATCAATCCTCTCCACACAGACAAGCATAAACACACTCAACTATCACTAAATCAAATTTAACACACGTTTGTAATGACGTTAAATCAGTTTACAATAGGGTTCATTCGCTCAGTCAGCAGGTGGCAGTATCCTCTTACACTGGGGAGTAAACTGCCATCATACGAACAGAAGAAGAAGAAAACCCCTGCACATGCGCGGTACGGATCAGGTAGACCCGATTTGTATGGTCCGACTTTGCACATGCGTAGTAAGGATCGGGGAGTCCTGATCCGTAACTATCTTTTTATTTTCCGTTTTTGTCTACATTGTACTGAAATGCTTCATTACTGGAAACATTTTAAGAGATACTTATTATTCCTAACATCTTAACAGATACTCTGACCCGTAACTATCGTAAAACGCTTCGACCGGAAGTAGACACCTTTTCAATTCAATTCAATTCAATTCAATTTATATAGCGCCAAATCACAACAAAAGTCGCCTCAAGGCGCTTCATGCGCATGCGGGGTACCGATCGGATTTCCAGTACGGATCGAGTAGTGACAGGGTCGGGTGTGTCCTTCGTGGCCCACCATATCCCAGAATTCATAGCACGGCCCAGCCAATTTCAGTTTCCAACACTACTACTAAGCCACTACTAAGTTTTAAAATTACTCTTATTAATCTTTCTGGGTCACAAAATAAACTTTTAACATATTTTCAGGCGAGAAAGTAGCTGTGTACATTTCAAATATCTGCTTGGTTTATCAAGACATCGCATATTTGCAAAAGTGCGCCGGTCGAGCCGGTGAGAGCAGCGGACTCCCGGCTTCATCGTTTTCAGACCCCCGCTCTTTCGCTACTCGGGTTAAACATAATATGTAAATCACTCGGATAACTTAAAAATGTAATTGTTTGCCTTTTTTCTGTGTTTTATTTGTTCCGGAGTAAATCGGTTTGGCTGAGATCAAAGTTATTAGATTATTAGATTAAATAAAACTTTATTAATCCATCGGGTGGGTTCCTCCGGGATTTTCACACTGCTGAATAAACGTCATAAAAAGAAGTGTGAGACAGTCGAGAATTTACGCCAGTGTCCTGTTATATTTTAGATAGCAAGGAGCAGACGGCCGAGTTTGTTAAACTCCACCGACAAAGATGAAAATCTGAAGGCTAGACCGTCCTATTTCACAGCCTCGCACTTCCAGCCTTCTCGGTCTTCGGAGGACCCGGCCCACGTAGACTGCGAAAGCCGGGTCCTCCGAAGGATGCAGCCGACGTTTTGGGATACAGCTATTATCCATTGTTGATCTGCACACAGCTGTTGCCACAAACGTCGCACTCACTTACGTCATTGTCATGAGACACTCTTGCAAAAAAAAATCACGGTTTTAGTAACGCAATAACGCAGCATGCTCACAGGAAAGTAACAGTAATCTAATTACCTTTTTTGCAATAGTAATCCCTTACTTTACTTGTTACTTGAAAAAAGTAATCGGATTACATCTCTGGTTGTCTTGTGTAGTATGTAGTGTTGTGGATAGTTTTGTGTTGTGTGTCAGTACAATGTGACTGCTACATGACCAGAAAACCTCTTAATGCATGTTAAAGTAAAGTTCCAGATTTTTCAGAGTAAAATCTTACCTCTAGGCAACTTTAAATGCTGGAGTAGAACAGGTGTTGAATCATTAATGCCGAGTGGAGTCTCTGATTATTACACAACTTTTCCTGATTTGTTCCTTTTTTTTAATTGGTTGAAATTCCTCATTCACATCAGGAATTTTTAGGAGTTTTTATGATTTTTCTATCCTCGCTACATCAGAAACTCACTCACTGCCAATAACAGCGCAACTTTCTTATTTTGCTTCCTCAGAGAGGAGGGAGTCCCCCCTCCACCTCCCCCCATAGTCATCAACAAGTACTCAGATGAGCACCTCAGAGCCATAATCATGAAGATGAGAGAAAGAAAGCAGCTCTTCAAGGAGAAAGTGACTGATCAGTATGCTTCATCCCCTGAGATAACCCCTCCTGTCAGTGAGTGCCAACACAAAACCATTCAGTGCTGCAGATTTTCTAATATTTCTAATATCTGTGGATGTATCTAATATTTCTAATATCTGTGGTGTAGTTCATTTTCCTTGTTTAAAAACATGTTTAAAAATAGAGTATTAGAAAAATATATAAATCAAGAATGAAAAGAGCAAAAAGGAGAAAAAAAATTACCTCTTGATTCTTTTGCTTTGATGTAGTTACTTATCTAAGGTGGAAAGTTTTTTTTTCTTTGGGTTTTTTTTTTTGTTGTTGTTTGTTTGTTTGGTTTTTGCTTTGTTTTATTATTTTCTTCAAGCCCTATGTACAGGAGCTGCATACAAAAAGATATTTTGTGAAAAGGGTTGGCGTAATAAGCAAATGCTTCAGCCAATACCTTTTGATTAGCCTTGTCTCATGCTTTCTTTCTTTATGGTAGATTTTTGTTCTATTTTCACTGTTTTTTTTTTTCACTGTTTTCACTGAGATTTGAATTTGAATGCTAATCAATAAAATCAAAAATCAAAAAAAAATGTTATTGTTTTCATGGGGCAGTAAGGAAACTAATTCTTAATATTTAACTGTTGCTCACTCAGCCCCTTTATCCTTTCAGCGCCACTGCTACGCAAAGACGACTACAACAGAGTCATAGAGGAAAGGAGACAACAGGCAGAGGAGGCACGGATAAAGAAGGAGGAGGCAGACAAGAAGAAAAAAGAGGAGCAGGAGAAGAAGAAAAAGGAGGATGAGCAAAAGAAAGCAGAACAAAAGGCAGCAGAGGCCAAACAGCAGGAGAAGAAGAGTATAAGAACCAGGATATCCGAGGCAATGTGGTCAGTGGTGGACACTGTGTTGAAGCCACTCGAGGACCTGATGGACTCTGTGTTTGGGCAAACCATAGACCCTTTCACGGACCGTCGCTACATTGCATGGCTAAGCTTGGTGACTGTGGCCTTTAACTACAACACGTGGTTCATCACGGCCCGCCTGTGCTTCCCCTACCACACTGAGATCTCCATCCCTTACTGGTTCACCCTGGATGTGTTGGCTGACATCATCTACCTGGTGGACTCTGTCATCTCCCAACCCCGCAAACAGTTCGTCAAAGGAGGAGACATCATTGTAAGTGGGAAATGATCCTGACTGCTGACAGAGAAAAACACTGGCCTGAATGACAAAGTCACTTCTATTCCCTTGCAGAAAGACAGAGTGATGACAAAGAAGCACTACAGAGATTCAGAGAGATTCCTGGTATGATCACTTAAATCCCTTGAGCTTTGAAGTTATGTACTTAATTAGAGTCAGCGACCTTACAGCTGTCTGTCTCTTTCACAGGCAGACGTGGTGTCAGTCTTTCCATTTGACTTGTTGTACATCCAATTTGGATTCAAATCTGCCTTCAGACTCAATCGTCTACTGAAGGTAAATCTACTTAAATAATGTTTAGATGAATGAGACAATAAACAACGCCTATTAAATGTACTTTGGCTCTCATCTGGCTCACATTTCCTCACCTATTTTCAAGATGGACACATTTTTTGAGTTCAGTGATCGTCTAGAGAGCATCATGGCCAAGGCTTACATCTGGAGGTAAGACCATCCATCCATGCATCCATCCACCCACCAATCCATCCATCATCCATCCACCCACCGATCCATCCATCCACCCACCAACCCATCCATCCATCCACCAACCCATCCATCCACCCACCAACCCATCCATCCATCCACCAACCCATCCATCCATCCATCCATCCATCCATCCATCCATCCACCCACCGATCCATCCATCCACCCACCGATCCATCCATCCATCCATCCACCAACCCATCCGTCCATTCATCCACCGATCCGTCCATTCATCCACCGACCGATCCATCCATCCACCCACCGATCCATCCATCCACCCACCAACCCATCCATCCATCCACCAACCCATCCATCCATCCATCCATCCACCGATCCATCCGTCCATCCACCCACCGATCCATCCATCATCCATCCACCCACCGATCCATCCATCCATCCATCCATCCACCAACCCATCCATCCACCGATCCGTCCATCCATTCATCCATCCACCGATCCATCCATCCATCCACCGATCCATCCATCCATCCATCCATCCATCCATCCACCAACCCATCCATCCATCCATCCACCAACCCATCCATCCATCCATCCATCCATCCATCCACCAACCCATCCGTCCATCCACCCACCGATCCATCCATCCACCGATCCATCCATCATCCATCCACCCACCGATCCATCCATCCATCCATCCACCAACCCATCCATCCATCCACCGATCCGTCCATCCATCCATCCATCCATCCATCCATCCATCCACCCACTGATCCATCCATCCATTCATCCATCCACCGATCCATCCATCCATCCACCGATCCATCCATCCATCCATCCACCAACCCATCTATCCATCCACCGATCCGTCCGTCCATCCATCCATCCATCCATCCACCAACCCATCCGTCCATCCACCGATCCGTCCATCCATCCACCCACTGATCCATCCAGTATACAATGCAATTAACTGAGATAGCAAAAATGTCAAAATGTGGCCATATCAATAACTCTCTTTATTACCCCTCTTAGAGTGATTCGCACAATTGGTTATCTGCTCTTCATGCTCCACCTTAATGCCTGCTTCTACTATGTGGCCTCAGAATATCAGGGCATTGGTAAAACTAAATGGGTCTACTCCGGCGTAGGCAGCGCGTAAGTACAGCACTTCTATACAGCCACTTGTGTTTGAGTTGGAGGGATTTTCTCATCTTTTTTTCTGCCAACTCTTGATGTGGACCTAGCATGCTCATACTGTATTCTGAGACTCTGCTAGAGCAGCTTTTGCACGAGCAGTGTTGGGAAGGTTACTTTTAAAATGTATTCCACTACAGATTACAGAATACATGCCCCAAAATGTTTTTGTAACGTATTCCGTTACATTACTCAATGAGAGTAACGTATTCTGAATACTTTGGATTACTTAATATATTATCATGCTTTTTTACAACTACATGAATGTACTATTGCTGTGTGATTTATTACTATTACTGAAGGTTACTCGCCATACCAATACCAACTAGATTTTTAAATCTAAATATAAAATGAGTAACAGGGAGGGTGGACATTAGGTAACTGCGCTTTTTGCAGCGATCTCGTATAGAAAACTATTCCGCGTATATAAAACAGGTCCGCGGCTCTGAACCGTAAAGGCGTAAAACCATAAAGGGACCTCTGGCTAATACGTTGGGTTCGTGTTGTGCTCGTAGTTGAAAACTGGCTTTACTTTGTTGTCTGGGTCAACGTTGCTAGCGAGAGACAGAGAGAGGCGTTGAAAGGCTGCTCCAACCGAATTTATTGTTTCGGAGGAAAACACGAACACAGTGTACAGTCGAGTCTTAATAGCTTACTTACAACTGGGCTCGCCAGGCTCTCTTCTTGGCTGCAGTGGTTATTATTACATTTACATGCTTCCAGCTCCCGTTTCTGCTCGAGGACATCTTGTACTTTTCCTTTTTCTCCCTCCCTCGCTCACAGACACATAACGGGTATGGCAGTCCATTCTCCCTGCAGCACGGACTGCACTGCCCATCAGGCTACATTCTTTAGGGCTATGCCTGTAGCATTCTGCCTATTGCCTTCATATTAAATCATTTTTTTAAATATTTCTTCACATCATTATGAGACGCGAGATTGAGACACAGGCATTTGAGCCTCTTAATGCGTGTTTTGTTTGGGTTTCCACCGGCAGGGAAACCCAAAATAGAGAGAGCATAGGCGAACATATCAAACAGGAAAATACCGCCGTGTAATCCCTTTATTTCAGCAAAGTAACTGTATTCTGAATACCACCTTTTTAAACGGTAACTGTAATGGAATACAGTTACTCATATTTTGTATTTTAAATACGTAACGGCGGTACATGTATTCTGTTACTCCCCAACACTGTGCACGAGTCACAGTTACAACAAACTGTTTTTTCTTCCCTCCCTCTGTGCAACTTTCTAATGATTGGCTGATGGTTTGAAAACAGTGGCTAGGGGAACATCTGTACTCACAAATGACCATATTAAACATGTTCACTCACCAACATGATACAGAAAGGTAGAAAATGAGCACATAGGGGGATAATGTTAGCAATGCATAACAAAAGGTTATAGCAGAGAAACAAAATTACCTAAAAAAAAGTCTCTGGTTTATCGCACAGAGTTATGAGTTCCAGCTCACAAAGCATCCAGTCAAAATCTTTCATATGTCCCATGTTTGCTGCTGATGCTGTGGCTGCAGTTACCTCAGCTGCTTCTTCTATGCCGAGAAGTCCCTGCTACTGATCGCCGAGTTACCAACTCCTGACACCACATTCGGGCTGATCTTTCAGATGACCAACTACCTTTTCGGGGCATTCTTTATGTCCACCATGCTTGGCCAGGTAGCTTCTTTCTCGTAGCATTTTTGTTATTTTACTTTCTCTTTTCTTTTAATATTTTTTTCTCTTTAGGAAGCTAAAGCAATTTCAGCAAGACACCAAGGAAATCGCTCAAACGTGCCCAGAACCCACCACTGCCATTTTATGCAAAACAAAGAAACAAACTCCATTTTCCCCCACACGACCCCAAAACATCCAATACAGTTTATGACACCCCTCTCTGACACCCCCCCCCAAAACTCTCCACAGGTACCTGCGTTGTTACTACTTTGCTGTCCGCAGTCTGATCAACATCGGGGGTCTTAATGAACCCGAAACCGTCTTTGAGATTACCTTTCAGATGACTAATTTTTTCTTGGGCGTCTTTGTGTTCTCCAGTTTGATTGGACAGGTAATACAGAGGACACTCTGCCCCATAGCATGAGTCACAGCCCCCAGCATCCTTACTTCATCTGGAGTCCTGATTAGCATCCTTTTAGCATCATTAACTGCAAGTAGTACTAGTAGTAGTAAACGATTGTCTCTTATTCTCCCCCACTTGTCCTGTTTATGTAGATAGATGAATAAACCTGCAATACTCCAGTATCCGTTACTCTGTCTATAGTATTTCACTGGTTCCCTGTGATGTCTTGACTGTCAAAAACAACAAAAGCACATTCATTCTACTGTCTAAGTGAGAGGAGTATTTATTTAGTTTAAACAAAGGTTTTCTTCATATCATCATAATGTCTCAGATGAGAGATGTCATTGGTGCAGCGACAGCAGGACAGACTTACTTCCGTTCTTCCATGGACAACACTGTGGAGTACATGGTGACCAATCACATCCCGTCTTTGATACAGAACCGAGTCCGCACCTGGTACACCTACACCTGGGACGCTCAGGGCATGCTGGGTCAGTAGTCACTGGATAAAATCTTCATTTCAGTCTTTAAGAGTGTGTGAGAAACGCTTTAATTATAGGACACAAATCAGACGTCAGTCCTACTATTGTGCCAGGTGCAGAAAGTTTTAACACTGAATTAAATAATAATTCTTCATCTCCGTGTTTTCAGATGAGTCCGAGCTGCTGGACAAGATGCCTCTAGTGATGAGAACAGCCATTGCTGTGGACATCAACCTGGCGACCTTCCAGAAGATTGATCTTTTCAAGGTGCACACTCATTAGAAAAAATAAATATATAGCCCAGACAGTAACTGGGAGACTGGGAGATGGTTGGTCAGTTAAATATCTTCATATGTTTCCACAGGGCTGTGACCAGCAGATGTTAGTGGACATGTTGCTGAGGCTCAAGTCGATCATTTATCTGCCCGGAGACTTTGTTGTGAAGAAGGTGTGTTAAGTCTTACACAATCATCGTCAACTTCAAATGTGAATGAAACACAACAAATTACTTAATTTTTTAAAAGTTTATCATCATTTTATGCCAACAATTGAAGGACATTAAATACAAAAAAGTAAAAATGTGCTGGGGAGGATAAACTGATGTTGTGTAATCAAACTTGGCAATAAGGAGATACTCATTTTAGCCCTGATTCACCATATGATGACAAGCATACAGACTGTAAAGAGGCAGAGGAAAACACACTTATTTCATTGTGATGACAGATTTTTACATTAGTTACAACTGCATATCCTCCATTGTCGAGTACATTTTTAGCTAACTTATTTTTTTACCACTTGAACGTCAAAAATATCCAAGTTTTGTTTCTCTAAAATTCATAATTATGATAAAACCTCAGACAGCGTTGCATATTTTACTTTTAAATTTGGAAAAATGACTTTATAATCTTATAAAATAGTTCATTGTCAGGGTCTGCGCTGGCAGACCGCGTGGTGACAGTAGGATGACCCAAATGCAGACACTTGGAGCAAAACTATCCGGTTGTTCAGTCTGACGTCACTAGCCGTGTCTGGGTCTAAACTCCGCTGCAGGTCCATATATCAAACGATCACTATGGCATTACTGAGAGTTGAAAAACTGTCTAAAGTCTTTCATCTTTAATAAAATGATCAGCGTTCTGCTCTACCAGGTGTAACAATTGAGTTTAACATCCAGGCATCCATGAAAACGGACATTTATGACATTTAACGGAGTTAGAAGTTAGCAGGAAGTTAGCTCGCTAGCTTCTATCTAAATACAATATAGCATGTCCTGACTGCGGGTTTTGGAAACAAATTAAAACGTACAGCTCTGTTATCACTTCCAACATAAATGAAGACAGAAAACTAAACAGCAGTGACATTTGTAGGGTCACTGAAGTTTGGCTAGCTGGTATATAATGATTAGGGTTGCCAACTCCCTGAAAAATAAATAAGGGACACCTCGTGGCCAGGGCCGGGCAACCTAGTTGTCTTCACCCTTCCCAGTGTGGTAGCTCTTTTTTTGTGTGTGTGAAATTATTTTTTAACCATTTGACTTGAATTTGATTTAAGCAGATGCATATTCTTTGTGATATGACCATATGGGAAACAAATGATCATTTAGCCATTTATTTTTAGCTCAAAATGACAACATTAACACAGTAAAACAGGTCTCTTTCTTAAACAGAAGCCTGTCATGCTTAACTTTTGAGAATAAAAGTAAATCTTTCTTTAAAAGAACTCTGTCCTGCTTAACTTAAAATTATATAAATTAATAGAAAGCAATAGAACGAAAAATATTCTTGTAACTGTGCACATTTAGTGCATTTAGTACAATTGGCTTCAGTTGAGGTATTATTTCAGCTTTTCTAATGCTAATCAGCTGCTCCTGTTTGACCCACTTGTTCCCATGGTTACGCATCATAACTCATCATCATTATTCATCTATGTATTACTTTTATGTATTAGTCATCTATTTGTTGTAATCATCCATCCTTGCAGTTGTTTATTACACAAAATAAATGATATTATTATACTTCTGGCCACATAGCGCTGATATTCACTGCACATGCCCATATTAACCTTAACCAGAGGGTTTAAAAAACAAACCAGTGTTTACATACCATATCTGCTTCTGCCGTGGCCTGGTGGACAAGAAATTGGTTAAGGGTTCCCTGAGCTTTCACGCCCCTCATGTTCTTCATGTGCCCACCACTAGAAGCATGCCTATGGAAAAAGTGCGCCGGCACACAGCGCAGTGCGCTTTATAGGTGTTATGGTGACCTTTTCCAGCCAGGTGTTTCCCTTTTCCCAGTCCTCCCTGTGCTTTTGCAGCCTTTTTTTCTTTCTCTGAGCGAACAAACATTGCTGCTCTAATGCTGGGCTTACACTGTGCGATTTCTGGCCCATTTTGAGACGATTTTTGAGTCGTGCGACCGATTTGGTGATCGGCCCAATTTTGGCCTTCATCGTGCATCGTGTAGTATACGTGGGGTAACGAGAAGCGATTAACACCTCGAGCAGCTCCCGATCATCAATCGCTCGTGAGCCGCTCACACTGCTCACGCGCAAACACGTAAACGTCGGTGAAAAGACGGAGCAGCACGGCTGTGCAGCGTGTGATCTGGACACAAGCGATGGAGGCACAACTTGTAGAACTTCGGAAAGCTCATCCGAGCCTTTTCGATGTGGCATCACAAAATTATCACGACCACAACAACCGTGAAAATAGTTGGATTTACACTGCTGCTCAATCACAGCTGCCTGATCATGTTTTTCATTAGCAATTTAGCAAAGTTGATGGTGGTGGTTTGTGTGTCTGTGTGAGTGAAAGACAGAGCGACAGATTTTCTGTTATAACCTTCATGTTATGTTGGCACAGTGTGAGCACTCAGGTCGCATCAGAGCATCGGGTGGTATAGTGTGAGACCCTGCATCGTGACCTACCAACTTCTAACCCCTGCGAGTTAATCGTGCAGTTTGAGCAGGAGCTGAATAACGTGACTGAAAAAATCACACAGTGTCTGCCCAGCTTTAGGTGTACTGTCGTCCGAGACCGCAGTGTCGGCGTTTGTTTCCCTGTTGGCCATGCTTCTTGTTGTGGTCATCTGTTGTCTTCCGGTATTTTCTCCGCAAGCGACCTTTCCTCGACCAATGAGATGAGCGGTAATCTGAATTGTCATAAGTGTGCTGTCAGCTCATTGGTCACAAAGCAGGAGAGGGGCTGGGAGTTATGCTTTCAAACAAAGCGTTAATTCCATTAACATTTATAGACTACTTTTGATTCTCACTGTATTACGGGACAAAGTGCGTCCCTTATTAGCTCAACACGGGACGTGTACTTTTGTTTCTAAATACGGGACGATTCCGTTTTTTAAGGGACGGTTGGCAACCCTAATAATGATGTGCTACGTGACCGCTAGCGACACAGCTATGTTAGCATAATATGAACAAGCTAACTTTTTTTCCACTCGATAAAAGTTAACATGAGTGTTCTCGGTGGTCAGGAACAAATGTAATCGCATGGCAGGATGCTGTAAAAGGACCAAACTTCAGCCAGGAGAACAACTGAGATAATGCAGCCACAATACGAGGTTAGTCATTCATATACTGCTGCATGGGCTGGGCTGTAGTTACATCCTAAGGTTTTAAAAACTGAGCTTAAATAAATGATTAGCGGTAATAAAAGCCGAGGGAGGTGAACAGTGATCACTGACTGTTTTAGGAGCTTTTTGAGATTAAATAGAAGAAAATACATAACATTAAACATGTTAACAACACAAAAGCCATATTAAACGCAGACTACTTTAGGCCCGGAAGTAGGATTCGTCGCGTCATCACTGAACAACCGGATAGGGAAACAGAGCTCAATATCAGCAGAACTGGATGAAGCCTAAACTGCACAAACAAGAACATCATAATACAAAAAGGAATGAAACTCAAAATGCAGGATCAAAGGAAACAGCCCATGACAGTGATTTTTTATTAGGTTAATACTTTTTTTTTCCTCCAAAATTTACAACTTTAATATCAAAGAATGTCCGAGTTCTTGTAGGTCTGAATTTATGACTTTAATCTCAGAAGTTCTGTGTATATAAAAGGCCACCACAGGCTTCTTTTAAAGCTAAAATGCCCTTTATAAGCACATACACATAAAACATCCCTTCAGTAATTTATTTGTGTAAATTATTTGTAGGGTGACATCGGTAAAGAGATGTACATCATCAAAGGTGGAGCGGTGCAGGTGGTGGGAGGACCCGACAACAGCATTGTGTTTGTGACACTAAAAGCTGGTTGTGTTTTTGGGGAAATCAGGTGAGTTCAGATACACGCGCACAAATATATACTGATAATTAATCAACATCAGAGGCAATTAATCACAATCAGTGAACAGTGAAATGTTTTCTCTTTCTGTTTCTTAGTCTCTTGCAGTCCTCCAAAGATGGAGGGAACAGGCGCACAGCTAATGTCAAAGCATACGGCTTCGCCAACCTCTTTGTCCTGGAGAAGAAAGACCTGTTTGATATTTTGGTTCATTACCCGGAGTCGCAGAAAGTGTTGGCCAGAAAGGGCAGGTGAGTCAAAGGATTTGACTCAATATTTGCTGCTGATTTCACGAAATAACTTCTGTACTTGGTGGTTTATTTACTGGAAACCAATGATACACTATCTGTGAGGGGGGAAGTATGTGAACATGTATAAATGGCAGCGATTTTTAAGATAAAATTCCAGTCAGGTAGTTTTACACACAAGGAAAACAATCACATGTTAGTGGGTGGACCTATTTTTATTTTCAAGGCCTGATCTTTAAAACAGCACGATTACAAACAAAGCGAAAAGAAAAGTGTTATGTGGACGTCAGAAAAAGGGCTGTTGGTGATGTTCATCAGGCTGGGACACCTTTGAACAGTGAGCTTCCCCTTCCTGTCAGTGTGACGCATAAGTACACATGTAATCCCTGAGATATGAAGTTTCCACATGATAATAATAAATGCTGCTGTAGTAAACAAACCTCTGTACCTCTGTAGGAAACTAATAAAGGCCAAAGGTCCAGCAGCAGCTAAAGTTGAAGAAGAGAAGGAAAAAGGACTGGCGCTGTTCGGACCCAAACCCCCCACACCCAAACTGCTGCGCGCTTTCGGCGGGACCATTAACAAAACGTTTATCAACAAAATGAAGGTAACTACACCGTTCTGTCCTAATAAATGCACCCCAAGTGATTATTACATGAAAGTCATTGTGCTTGTCTTTTATTTTTTCCCCAGACTTCCAGTACCAACTAATAAGGAGCATGGAAAGTTTTTTTTTTTAATAACCCCTTTTTTGGAGTGAAGAAAATGTATCTCTCATGGAAATGAACTCATTTCTGTTGAAAGCACCTTTCAGATGATAATTTTACTGCTCTGTGTGTCATTCTGTCTAATTTAATAATAACAACAAGCCAAGACCATGTGTACCTCAACTACTGCCCCTAGTGGACACTGCTATGTATGTACTTCGTTCATATGGTTTTTATACAGTATAATCGGTCATTTTTCCCACTGTAGGCGTGGAAGCCTGCCTGAGATTATCAGTCAGTAAGAAGCATGGTGACAATAATGTTGACAGTTTATATTATTTGACTGAGTTTTAATAAATAAATATGTTTGAACTGCATTAAGTGTATTTCTCTGTTAGCCTTGTGTTTGTGAGCGCAGGAGGTCACATCCAGGCTAATCCTCACCTGCCAGTGACAGTACGAGGGCCGATTAATTCAGCTGCCTCTGTTTTTGTGAGCCCCACAGACTTAAAATAAACCAAGCATTACACCAGCTACTTTCATCGTAGCACCGATGGTTACTGCAGTGAATTTAATGTTATCCATGATACAGGATATTCAGAAACTGATTATACTCTTTTCACCTGCCGTCTCCTCCAGCTTACGTTGATCAGGTATAGGTTTTTATATAAATTCACTAACATATTAAAAAAATAGCACTGGTGCTTTTTGGTAAAAGTCTTCTTTCTGGGCTGTGCTCACAACTACAGGAGACCCATTATTTCTGCTGGCAGTGATTGTCGGCTCAGCTCGTTGAGCTGCTGTTGGCTCCTGGAGAAAGGGGAGTGCCTAGAGGGACTTACTGATTCCTAGAATTTTATTTGCTTCAGTCTGCTGTTCAGGTTTGAGGTAAAGACTCCACAACAAGCAGTTCAGGTACTCTTTCAAAGACCTAACATCTAAAAAAAAGAAGTTTGCAGAAGAAGCAGTGGAAAGGTCAGACTCTTTTCTGTCTGGCCATGTTCAGCAGGTTAAAGAAGCTGATCGGGGCTCCTGAGCCTCGTCCTGCCCAGGCTGCTGCCGCTCCGCCTTCTGCCCCGGCTCCACCGGCTACGGTAAGAGCTTAAATCTCCCTTTATTTTAATTTGACAAACACTGTGTTCATCCAGTGGACACACCATTCAAATTAAACATTAATCAGGTTCATTGGCTTCTCCAAGCTTGTCAGACTGAGTTGTATTAAAATACACAACAGGAGGTGAAAGCCTCTGAGGCAGCTTGACACTAACATGGACAGGAGCTGTCACTGGTTCTTCAAAACATAGGCTGGTGCTGCACAGGTTGATACTACACTGGCAGGCTAATCACTGCTATTTGTTCTCTTCCCTCTGCCTGTGTTTTAAATTTACAGCAAGAAACGCCGCCAGAAAAGAAAGAAGAAAAAGAAGATCAGCCCACGAAAGAGGAGGAAAAGAAAGAAGAAGAAAAGAAAGAGGAGGAAAAGAAAAAAGAAGAAAAGAAAAAGGAGGAAAAGAAAGAAGAAGAAAAGAAAGAAGAAGAAAAGAAAGAGGAGGAAAAGAAAAAAGAAGAGAAGAAAGAGGAGGAAAAGAAAGAGGAGGAAAAGAAAAAGGAGGAGAAGAAAGAAGAAGAGCCAAAAACAGGTGAGATGCGTGTTTATCTGAGCTGAGTTCCACATTCAGTTACATTGTTATTAGGGTGATGGTCAAGTGGTTTGAAGGGAATGTTTTTTGGTCAGTATGTACCATCGTCCACAGATGTGAGAGGTGTTGGTTCGCTCTGTTATATGTCACACTCTCTGGCCTTGCTGTAGATTCACTAAATGTGTCTTTTAGTGGATTGTTAGACTGTCCATCTGCTCCCTGTTTCTCTGTGAATCACAGACAAAGGGATTGGTGTCATCTGGCTGATCCTGTATCACAAACAGTGAGCACTGTCTTGGGAAAGTTTAGGTTCCCACTGCTGTACTAAAGTAAGCAATAAGAAACAGCCTTCCTTCATGCTGTGGTGATCTTTTCCTCGTGTACCAGTGGTTTAAAATACGAACAGCATCCCTCGGGATATGTAAGAATAGAGGGCTGAATGTCAAATAAGCATGCGGTGCATGATGCTGCTCTGGTTGTTGAACTTTGCACTTGAATTGTTTTTTAAATATCTTTCTACAGTATAGAATCTGAAGGTTTTCAGTGGGGGTTCTGTAACAGTCATAGAAATGAAAAGCTAAAGAATGATGTTATATTTTTCTTCCAGCTCCTGCGCAGGCACCTGCTGCTCCCGCTCCCACTGCTGCTCCTGCCAATCCAGAAGACATTGAAGGGTAAGAATTCATCATGCTTGTACTCCTTTTTCGGCTTATTTAAGGGCATTAGCAATTATTACGTTATTAGTTTTGTAATTACAGCCATTTTTATACATAACCCTCCATCATTAGAATCACAAATGTAATTGGACAATTGACTGGCAAGCAGTTTCATGGCCAGATGAGCTCAGCTCCATTATTTCGTGACAAATTAAGCAGATCAAATATCTGGAGTTAATTAATTAAGTGTTGAGCTTGTATTTGGTAGCTGAACCAGAATGATAGGAAGTGAAAAGTATGGAGAAAGAAAGAAGCAACTCATGTACGGCTAGCAGTGGAACTGGGCTGCTAGTGTTTATTTGCGATGAGGCTGCTGATAGAAGTAGCAGGATGAAGTGTTCAGAGCTATACTCTCTGCACAAATGGATGATGACCCACAGCACACTGCAAAAGACACCCAAGAGCTTCTCAAGGTAAAGAAATGAGCTATTCTTCAACTCCCAAGTGAGTCCCCTGATCTCAACCCAAGCATGCTTTTCAGTTCTTAAATACAAACCTGAATACAGAGAGAGACACAAACAAGCAACAGCTGCCGTAAAAGCAACTCAAGGGCAAAAACAAGGTATTTGACGACATCCAGACCAGTCTTAGAAACAAAACTATTTTAAAATTATGGTTAACTGATTACTTCTAAGCATCTGAAAATGGGAGACTATAGAAAAAATTTGCTGCAACTCCTAAACAGTTAGTGTAATACTTTTGTTAAACCCCCTGAATTACAGATGAAAGTAAATCAAACACATCCTGAGTGTTTTAAAGCTGGTTTCATTCTCCAAACACCCTCTAACATCATGTGCGTGTCTGTTAGTATTCACAGCAACCAGTTGCCTACATTTGAGGCATTTAGGGGCATCTATAGAACAACCCAGTTTACGCTGTCCCTGTACAGGCACTGCACCAGGACACGTTAACTGTATTAACTGTACTAAGAATAACTTGGCTCTCCTTTAGCTCTGCTGTTTTCATGAACTCTGAGCCGCTTGAGGACAAGAATAGTTACAGGTATATCTAACAGGTATCTAACAGTAAGGACTGATGACTCCACAAAGTCCCCACCCCCTCCCCAATGAGAGAGGTCTCTGGAGACCTTCAACACTTACTTTTCAAGATGTGATAACACTGTGACTTGCAGCATGTGACACATAAAGGAGGAAAGAAGATTAGGAGCTTATAGTGGTATTTGTGACTGAGATTGATCTGCCTGTGTTCTCATGCAAGCTGGAGTTGCTTCAATAGAATTTTAAGGGAATGTTGAGGAAATATATTAATGTCATAGAAATGTAACAAATGCCTGTTTAACAAGTGGAAAAGCAGCGCTGCTGTCGTCTCTCCCGGTGTCTACCTAAAGCTATGAGTTGCGTGTTTTATTCTAATTTATCTGTTTTTAGTGAAGAAGCGCCTCCTCCACCTGTTGTCTACTCCCGCTACACAGACGACACCATCCGATTTTTAGCCAAGAAGTTAAAAGAACGCACAGAGATACTCAAAGAGAAGGCCATAGACCCTTACGCCACATCTCCAGAAGTCACACCACCTGTCAGTAAGTGTGGTCAAAAACAAGCCAGCATGCTTAGAGAGAAAAACAACAACATGCAAACTAATGTCTTAAGTCATCGTATGCTTCTTTTTTTGCCTTTTAGCACCTATTCTGAGAAAGGATGACTACATCCGACTGAAGGAAGAGGAGCGCATAGCCAAGGAAGAAGCAGAAAAGAAGAAGGCGGAGGAAGCGGCCAAAAAGGCAGAAGAGAAGAAGAAAAAAGATGAGGAGAAAAGGTTGGAGGCCGAGAAGAAAGCCGAGGAGGAGAGACTGGCAGAGGAGGCCAAGAAGAAAGAAAGGATCCTCCCACAAATCAGCTGCTCCTGCTTTGACGTCCTCTTCCATCCAGTGGAGGAAAAAATGGATGTCATCTTGGGGACCACCATTGATCCTTTCACAGGTAAGCATCACACCTAAGCTCAATGAATTTTTTGTATTTGCCTTTAAATACTTGACAGACATTTCTGTCATTCTCTCTCCAGATCGTCGGTACATTTCCTGGTTGAGCTTCGTGGCATTGGCGTACAATTACAACGTCTGGTTTTGCTCCGCTAGGCTGGCTTTCCCTTACCACAGTGAAACTGCCAACCGCTACTGGATATTCCTCGACATTCTTAGCGACATTGTAAATATAATAGACATCATTGTTTGGCAGCCTCGCCTTCAGTTTGTCAAAGCTGGAGACATCATTGTAAGTCACAAACCACTCAGTCACATGTACCTGATAACATTTTAATAGTCTAATTGACTTTCGCACTTCTGTTGCTTGCAGAAAGACAGAGCTTTGACTAAGCTACATTATCGAAAATCACATCAATTTAAGGTGAGAACATGTGTCCAGTGGTGTAAAGTAACTAAATACATTTACTTAAGTACTCCAGTTAAGTACAGTTTTGTTCAACAACTGAAAAATAACACAATTAACATAATGTCAGGAATTGTGGTACTTGCTTATTTCAGCAAGATAAAGCCAAACTACACATATTCCAAATCCAAGACTCCATAAATGAGTGCCTTAATGTCCAAAACAACAAGCACTGGCACTGGCATGAAATGAGCATATATTAGAAATAAATAAATAAAATCCTATTTATTAAATGGTTTGAATTAAATTAAACACTTTATAACACTAAAGGCGACTAAAGATGTATTATTTGGTATTACGTTGTAATTAAATGTACCTACAAATATTGACAGGTAGGCACACTAGAACAAGAAAGTTAAAACTAAAGTGTTTGCAGGAAATAAAGAAATGATTGTAGTTTAAGTAAATATAAGTACTGCATAAGCAGTTTTAAGTTGTGTCCAATTTCATGGTAAGTTTTCAGAAAACGTTTTTTCTACATCATACAAACGCTGTAGTTTTTGGGGCGTGGGTCGTATTATAGAGTGGATTAATCTTACCTTTTTACATCTTTATTCAATATTCATTATGTTGCTGTGCACGATCGATGTTCTGTTTTTCACGTGTCCTTTTATCTTACTAATATATGTGTGATAAAGACTGTAAAGTGCTCTTGCAATGTAAGAATGGGAAATGTTCTTTGTTTTTGTGCAATATTACTAAGAAATTACATAATACATAAAAATAACTTACAGAATATTTTATGTCTCCTTTCCAGTAAAATACCTGAAGTCATGCAAAACTTTCTTAAAATGACTCACCAGTACTTACACTTACTTACAATCTAGTTATTTCATTGTTTTCTCTACTCTCTCTTTTTTGCAGACCGTATTATAAAGTGGTACAACATTAAATATATAGATTTGGATAGATGGATAGATGGTGACACTACATTTGTTTTTTATCCACATTTTTGCAGTTAGAAGTTTGCATTGTTATATTTATATTTTTACTGAACCAGTTTTTATTCTTCTTTCATATCTGTGAGCTTTGCAGCAAAATCCAAAGTTTAACAAATGTTTGTATTCTGTTCCGTGTAGACTGATATAATCAGCATCCTCCCCTTCGACCTGCTCTGCCTGTACTTTGAATTCTCCTCGTTTTACCGACTGAACCGCTTCATCAGGGTAGGCAGGAGGATGCTAACTTCTTTTTATTGTACTTTTTTTCCATTACATTTTCTGATAAGTTCCTTTACTTTTCCCCCTGTGTGTTTTAGATTGGTTCCTTCTTTGAGTTCAGTGATCGACTTGAGAGTGTCATGGCCAAAGCTTACATCTGGAGGTGACTGCTCGTGAATCGCATGGTGTCACTGCTTTGTAGCTTTAGCGTCACCATTTCTGTCTTTCTGACACAGAGTTGCCCGCACCACAGGCTACCTGCTCTTCATGCTTCACCTCAACGCCTGTGCTTACTACGTCGCCTCAGTGCACCAGGGTCTTGCCACAACTACATGGGTGTATGACGGGAATGGCACAGCGTATGTACACCAGTTTGGGACCTAAAGTTCTACACTGTACTCTGGAGTTCACCGTGGAACTGCAACATGTCATTTCAAAAGAAAATATTTCATTTTTCCTTTTAATGAAACAATTTAAAACTCAGAGAGAGATGTGTATAAATAATCTCAAACAACAAAAAGCAGAAAGCAGGGGTTCTCTATTTAAAGGAAAGCTTAACAAGGCCAAGTCAAGCTGTGTCTATGTAGCGATGTTGTGACACGGTGAAACAAAAGTTTCATCATTACCAAGAATATTATAACTTGGTGTTTCCAAAACCAAATCTATTTCATTATTTAATGACACATATGCACATGTTTTTTGCTTGCTGGTATGCAGTATGCAGATGAAGATGATTATTTACCGTGCTGCGTGTGCTTGGGGAGATCAGCAGCGCCCTCTGTTGTATCCTAACGTGCACAGCATGCTCCGTGATTTTTGTAAGAGTACCTCCTGAACAAAGACCAGCTCTGCTTTATCCTTTTTTTAAATATTAATTAAGAATTGTGTTTTGGCATTCATCTTAGCTGGGAGCTACAAATCTAAATAATGTCCATTAATTAACTGCAGATTGATTAAACTCTCTGATATTAATAATTATTTTCAGCGGCGCTCCTGAGGACGTTTAACCATACTGATGCTGACAGAGTGACTTGCTCTTGACTTTTTGTTCACTGAGTGACGTTGGCTGACTTACACAGAGTCCTGACTGACATCGCTCACTTTTGAATTCAGTTTAAAGAACTCGTATTGTTCTGTTTTAATACTCCTGTATTTAAAAATGTTTATATTTTATGTTCATCTGTGGTAACGCCGTTCTTTAACCCTTTCATGCATAGTGGTCACTACAGTGGACACAGCTATTCAAAGGCTGTTTTCTTGTATTGGTGTCAGTGTTGATGGTATACTTGCACATAAACATTGGACACTGATGTGTCACTACATACTCTGCCACCCACTGGTCAGCCAGTTGTCCACCTTAGTGGACATGTAAAAAACTACATGTTTAAAAAAAATGAAGTTCAAAAATCTTTTTTTCATACCTAAAGATGAATAAAAATACTTGTGAAAACAATCCTGATTGAAGTTGTTATAATTCATGCATGAAAGGGTTAAAGTTCTTGGCCTGTCTCTTAGGACCATGTTAGAGCTTTACACAGCATAAAGGCGTACCATGCTCCTGTTGATCCCAGTAAACTAAAAGATTTACGACATGCCGTCTGTAGCTGTGGATAACTCCTGTCTTCTCACTCCTGTCCCTGCACAGGTACCTGCGTTGCTACTACTTTGCAGTTCGCAGTCTGATCAACATCGGGGGTTTACCGGAACCTGTAACCACCTTTGAGATTTCCTTTCAGATGGCTAACTTCTTTATTGGTGTCTTTGTGTTCTCGAGTTTGATCGGACAGGTAGGAGGATATTCTTCAATGTTAATATTCCACCTGTTAATATCTATGACTTCTCTGTGACACTTTACATTTCTGCCTTTCTTTCAGATGAGAGATGTCATAGGGGCAGCTACAGCAGCTCAGACATACTTCCGGGCGTCAATGGACGGATGTGTTTCCTACATGAACACCTATACGATCCCCAAGCTAGTCCAGAACAGAGTCCGCACCTGGTACAACTACACCTGGGCAGCTCAGGGAATGCTGGGTGAGAAATGTATACCTCTCAGTTGTGTCCTCACCGGAAGAAGCTGATGAGTTTAAATGGGGAACAGGGAATATTCATCCACACAAATACATTTCTATATAAAAACAAACAAACAAAAGAAAACGAGTCGTGGCCACTGATCCTGGTTCTGCTGGAGATTTCTTCCTGTTAAAAGGAAGCTTTTACTTCCCACTGTCACCAAGGGCTTGCTCATAGGGTGTTTGATTGTTAAGAATTTTCTCTGTATTATTGTGAGGTTTTTACCTTACAATATAAAGCATCTTGAGACAGCAGCTGTTATGATTTGGTGCTATATAACAAAATGCAGCTGAAATGAATTGACGTTACAGCTGAGGTAATGAAAAAGACTCAGCCATTCCTTAAGGATTCAAGCATGACTAATAATGAGCCGCAAAAATGCACAGACTAAAAATCTGGAATGTGCTCACATGGAATCACACTGTCTGTCCTTCTCAGATGAGTCCGAGCTCCTGGACAAGATGCCTCTGGTGATGAGAATTGCCATTGCTGTGGACATCAACCTTGCCACATTCCAGAAGATTGCATTGTTCCAGGTGAGGCTGCTTAAGCTTCAGCGCTCTAGTACCATAGAAAGTGTATTAGAGAAAGGGCGTGTGAGTGGACGGATAATGAACTGTAGTGAAGTGTAATGAAGTTATGCTGGCTGCTTTCAGAGATGAGTAAAGCAAAGCAGAGCTTCTGTGATTCAGTGAAAGTCAGTACTCACTACACTCTGTCCTTCAGGGCTGTGACCAGCAGATGTTAGTGGACATGTTACTGAGGCTCAAGTCAATCATTTATCTACCCGGAGACTTTGTTGTGAAGAAGGTTGGTGCATACATATGTGTATACATGTCTGTAGGTAACGACACGGCTACAAAGTAGCAAGCAACATATTTCTGAACTGTGCTGATCATCATGAAGCAACAAGGTGACCTGAGCTGAGTGTCACTGCGCTGATCTGTCCTCTGCAGGGTGACATCGGTAAAGAGATGTACATCATCAAAAGTGGAGCGGTGCAGGTGGTGGGAGGACCCGACAACAGCATTGTGTTTGTGACGCTGAAGGCCGGCTCCGTGTTTGGGGAAATCAGGCAAGTCTGCAGCATCAGGAAGGACAGCTGATGCTGTGAAACCTTTGTTACGATGATGTCACGTTAACTTTGGGTGGAGATAATCTAAGAAGAAAAAAAAAAAAAATCCTAGCAGTTTTTATCACGTCTTTAATGCTGCTTTTGTGAAGTTGTGTACATTGCGCAGTGGTTGTGTTGCTTTATTTTGGCCATAGTAGTAGGCCATATTGTTTTTTGTCTGCTTATCCAACCACAGTTTACTGCAGTCTGCTAAAGATGGAGGAAACAGGCGCACAGCCAATGTAAAAGCTCACGGCTTCGCTAACCTTTTTGTGCTGGAGAAGAAAGACCTGTTTGATATCCTCGTCCACTACCCGGAGTCTGAGAAGGTGCTGGCCAGGAAGGGCAGGTGAGCCGCTTATTAGTGCTTCAGGAACCGTATTTTCATTCAAATTTAAAAGTATCATATACCCTCCAAACCTCCATCCAAATCATTACGTTAAATGAAATTTAAATATGCATCCTTTTAAGAAATATGTGGTGTTTTTTTTTTTGTCACTGTGAAGGAAACTAGTCAAAGCCAAAGGAGCTGTACCTGCTAAAGGTAATGAGGAGAAGCAGAAAGGACTGGCTCTGTTTGCACCAAAGCCACCAACGCCCAAGCTACTCAGAGCTTTTGCAAATATAAAAAAACTCAAGGTAAACGTGATGTGGGGAAGCGTGTTCTGCTGTAGGCCGTTTAAAAGCACTGATGGCTAAAGTATTTGTGATGTTGGGTCCTGTCATCACTTTGTCTTCTTGTCCACAGAAAATGGAAGAGACGAAATAGGAAGTGGATGTGGAGTGTTATTGAGAGTGTCTTCTACTTTTCCATTGCTACCAAAAGACCCATAATGGAACCGGTCTACAGCGACCAGAAGAGCTGTTGTCATTCAGAGGTTTATGTGACCTGATACTCTTCAGTTCAAACATCTGCTGGAAGCAGCAAAGTGCTATGATTGGAAAGCACTAATAATCTCCCCCACACTCTTTGCAGATTCATCAGTATACACAGAACCGTCTGTAACAGGAGAGGACAACTGTTTGAAATTTGTGTCATGCAAATGATCGACTTTATATGTTAAAAAAAAGAAAAAGGCAAAAATTATCCTCAGTTTCATTATTAGGTGTTCAGGGTGATGCGAAGCTCTTCCATCCCTGACTGGAATTCTCTCTGTGCAAAGAGCACAACCTAGTGGCTGAGTGACCTTTAAACTGTTAACTGAGCTGCTGGACTTGTAGTCTATTTGAATTTTGACCAAGAGGTGTAACCAAGAGTATCAAATATCAATATAGAAATGGTTCTGTTTGTTACTGGGTAGTCTGGGTTTAGCCCCAGTGTTTGTTGGATGTCCAAACATCACTGACACTGTAAATAACCAAAATACCTCTGATATATTGATTAAAGTTGTCTTTCCTCTTGACATGAAATCCAAAAGCATGAGCATTTACTAAACTTTTACTTTTTTTTGTTGTGGAAATATTGCAAAATACAGGATGATCCGTAGGAGACGTTTTAGAGGCAACCATGATTTATTAATAAAACCTGAGCACCATAAAGCTCTGACAGACACTGTAAATCCACTGCAAAATTAAAATTCATATAAAGCTACTGAAACATGATTGCTTATTTAAAAGGTACAATCCATCCACCAACTACACCTGCTTTATCCTTTAGGGAGCTGTGGAGGGAGGTTAGGAAGAGATTAGCTACGTGATGTTTAACAGTTAATAAATTTAGGCAAAGTCCACATGTATGTATGTATGCATGCATGTATAACAGGCTAAAAACTGAAGTGAAAAATCAGGCACGTACACTTCTGCTTCCGTCTCTCATGCACGAAACTGTAAGTAGACATTTTCTCCCAAGATGCAGACATCAATGAAAACTAAGACGACCGCGTGTGGCCTGTTGCTTGGTTTTGGATTAAAAACAGTTCAGAGCCAACTCCTCTGAGATGCTGCACATTTAGAGTATGTTTTCAGCATGTCTCAAGTCCTTTGTGAGTCTCTTTCACAGGCAGTCAGCAGGATACTTGGCCTGTGTTGTCCAGGATATTGCACTGGGAGTCTTTATCTCCCCAACAGAGACGGAACTTTAACTCTGGAGCTTCCAGAAGATCATCTGTCGGTCCTCTCCACCTGTGATCACTGTGGTGCACAGCTCACTCATCCACATGGCTGTGACAGCACCTGTGTGTACATGGATTTATGTATAATATTCCTTAGCTTATATTGTTATTAATTGATACATTTATTATAACGCATGTACATTTTAAGGTTTTACTACATTAGTGGCACAAACATATTAGCCAAATTAGCATCCAGTGACATCTTCTGAATCAAATATTACAGATTTAGTGGAAATTAGTGAACTGTGCGTTTTTTATTCTGTGCAAGTTTCACAGAAATCTGACCAATACTTTAGAGACAGGGGTGTCAAACATAAGGCCCGGGGACCAGAATCGACCAGCAAAGGCTCCAATCCGGCCCACCATTTTCTGTTATTTACTAACAACTTTATGTTATGATTCAGGGTCATTCAGGACAATGAATTAGCAGAAGTTCCTGGTAAATTTGTCTATTCATTCCTGCCAATTCGTTCAACTGGCAGTAAATAAAACCACAAATGTAGCAGATTGTCTTTCCTTCTTGTTGCTGGTTTTACAGCCAATAAACAAAGCAGCATCAGAAGTTTGAAAACGGGGGTAAAAACTCCACCCAATGATTACTGAAGATGAGCTCTACCTGAGTGTGCAGGGATCCTCTTGGTAACTGTGTTGGTAAGAAGGTCCCACAGGAGGAGGTCACCAGACTGGCCACCACACAGCACCCAGTTTCCATCCCAGCAGAAACACCTGCACACACAAACATGCTGCTAAATGCTTTGAACATAGCACAAAGAAACAAGTGAAATACAAAGTTCTGGATTGCTAGGAAAACCTCTGCTCCTCTTCAGCTTTCACAGAGGAGATCACCATTCCCGTCTGGACGTCGATAACCTTCATGCAGGAGTCGGCTCCAACGCTGAGAACGTGTCGGCTATCTGAGAATGCAAAAGTGGTATAATCACACACGTCTTTGGATAATACATATGAGTCTGGGAGTTGTAATTTCTCAACAGAAATTCTTCCTGCTCAGCAGTAAAGGGTTGTTTGATTCACACAGAAGAATCAAGCAGCCAACAGCCGCTTCAAAGAAAGCTGAAGAAGTGCTCTCCACATGCACTTTAACTGTACTGAGACAAACATTAAGCTTAAGGGAATTATTTACTCAACGCTTCCACGAGCAGATCTGAATTTTATGTTTAACATTTTAGGTGATCAAAGTTCCACGTTCACACAAACCAGGACTGAAGTCCGTCTGGTGGATGGTCCCACTGTGGCAGTGGATCTGCTGCAGAGTCCTTTGGCTGCTGTGGTCCCAGATGGTGACGGCCCCATCTTTACATCCAGACACCAGCAAAGTCCCAGCTGGGTTCAGACTGACTGTGTTCACCTGAATTTGAATGTTAGAGAGCAAACATGTTTTTATTACGTATGTTTTTAACGCTGCTAAAATGTCTCAGTGTTTGACAAATATGAACATTTTATTTGTCAGAATCTTTCCAACAATAACGCATGCACACAGCGTTACTATGATGCATTTAAATCCACATGAAGTTTGTAAGATCTTGATGAAACCTGTGGCTGCGGTTTTGTCACTCACCCCAGCATCATGTTCCAACTCACCCAGCAAATTAAACTGGGATCTCTTGTGAGTGGAAAAGCTGTCAGAGTTGCATTCCCACACCTGTGAAGGTCACACAGAAAACAACGCTAAAGGTTCATCCTCTCTCTGACATGGAGTCCTTAGTCTTCCTCAGTCTGCTGGCACTGAAACAAGCCGGCTTCTTTTCAGAACGAGCACCCAGGTTTAGCTTCATGCAGCCTGACCAGGCCGGACTCTCAGCTGTCATCACAGCACGAGTGCGAGCTACGATGCAATAACAGTATTCTCATTCCTGTCCAGGGAAAGCTTTCAGGATATCATTTTACCGTTTGTGTGAGTCTGATGTGTCTACGATGTTGCCTCCTTATTTATTAGTAAAGGGACCTCGTGTGTTATTCATCATGTGATGTACTGTCCAATCTGGTCCATATGACAAATACTGCATAGCTCTCTCCCTTCAGTAAATTCATTAGTCCAGCACTGTAACATGTCCCATGTCTGAAAAGGGTTATAGAGACAATACTTTACCTTAACAGTGGAATCCCAGGATGCTGTGTAGAGTTTGTCCTCAAACCAGCACATTTTACTGACAGCGTCATCGTGACCCATCAGCGTATCCTGTCGCCTGCCATACGGGACGGAGTAGAAATACCTGAGAGAGAGGAGCGTGCAGGTCAGCGAGAAGCCGTCAAAACTCTCTGAAAACCACGTTAAATATAATGAATAAACAGTCCGTACACATTGTTGTCCCACGAAGAGCACACCACCGTTTTACTGTCCGCCAGTATCAAACACGATGACAAGGCCTGAAAAACAGTCGAGCGGTTTACTGTTTACAGAGAAATGGAACAGATTGCTAGAAGAGATCCGAGGAAGGAGATGCTGAACGGGCGAGCGTACCATGTTAGAGAACGACATGCTTCTCTGGAACTCCTTCAGCTCTTTGGAAAACATTTTAAGTGTCGAGTCTGTAATAAAGAGCGAGAGGCGTCAGCGTGAAACACGTCTCCACTGACAGAACTGAGCAAACCGTAATTCATCCTTCTCTTAATCCTTTTAGCTCAACGGCTTTTTAATTAAAGAGAAAACAAAATGAGTTTCCAAGTAGATCTGAGTCGTCTACATTTCTTCTCAGTCTACACATTTTCCAAACCTTTAGATGTGGAGAAAACAGCTGATCCACCTCGAGACACAGCAATGCCTGTCACAGCTCTGCACATACAGCAGAAACAAAGTTACTTAAAAAACATAAATATACACGTATATTAAAAAAAACACATGAAATGAAGAATTTGTTTAGAATAACACAGCAGTCTGTTATTGAAGGAAGTAGTCCTGAAACTAGTATTAAGTTTCTGAAGGGGTGTGGAGCTCCTGCAGCTGCCTGCTACCTGCTTTCTTTGAATTCACTTCCTCATTTTTGAGGCAGGGCTTTCACTTTTGCTGTATGTGGTTACATTTGTACTCTGCTGTAACTGCAGCCCACCGAGCAGCTCCTGACTCACTCTTTATGGATCTTGTGGCTGGAAACGGGCTTCAGACTTTCCATGTTTGCCCAGGCCAACCTCCTGCTCTCCTCGGTGAGATCTTCGAAAGACGAGTCCTCGCCCTGAGAGGCTGCAAAACAACACAGGGATCCGGCCTACATGTTAACTTGTTATGGTTATGAAAAACATTTTATATATCAAAACACATTAAAATGCAGTTAATATAGCTGAAAGTGCATAAATGAAACTTTTTTTCTTCAGTAAAACCAGAAAAAACAGGAGTAAATTAATAATTCATCGTTTTGTGACTCTTTTTAATCTTGAGTTTGTGTTGATTGGCTTCACTCACTGAGACATGCACCATCCTCCCAGAGAGGAGTAGTGAAGCACATAACTGTGTGGGCTTTAGAAACACTGCTCAGCTCTCACAGCTGCCGTTGCATCGTGTTATTAGCTACTTAAGCCTGAACAATGAAAGAGAAAGCTCTGCAGCTGCAGGGCTCTCACACACTTCCCGTGCTGTGCGGTGTTACCTGGAGATAGCTCAGCGTCGGGTGAGTTGATGCTCGAGCTTCGCGTAATGTTCTGAAAC